TTGTTTGTCATTTCTCCGATCACAAATGCAGACATGGTTTTATGTTTACGCGGCGCGATGCAACGCAATGCGTAAAAAGACAGTATAAGTCATTATAATCCATAATTATGTCCCCACTGGATGCAACGAATGCCTCGTTTATAATGGGTTTTCATGTTTTTGAATCATTGCTCCGGCCTGACAAGGCATCATCACAGTATGGTAGGGGCTTAACATTTCCGTCACATGCTTGAGGTATTCGGCCAATCACAACGCACTGGACCAATCACCAATCACAGCACACCTCGCTTTTTAGACCGATGAGCTTTGTAAAAATCTACGCGTTTCAGGGGCATAGAGATGGAGTCAATGTGAGTGTCCCACTTCAGGTCCTGAGAGATTGTGGTGCCCAGGAACCTGAATGACTCCACTGCAGTCACAGTGCTGTCCATGATGGTGAGTGGGGGGAGTGCAGGGAGGTTTCTCCTGAAGTCCACGATCATCTCCACAGTTTTGAGCGTGTTAAGCTCCAGGTTGTTAAGACTGCACCAGACAGCCAGCTCTTTAACCTCCTGTCTGTAAGCAGACTCATCTCCGTCCTTGATGAGGCCGATGACTGTAGTGTCGTCTACAAACTTCAGGAGCTTGACAGAGGGGTCCTTGTGTACAGGGAGAAGAGCAGTGGGGAGAGAACACAACCTTGAGGGGTGCCAGTGCTGATGGTGATAGTCCTGGATGTGAGTTTGCCCGGCCTCACTAGCTGCTGCCTGTTTGTCAGGAAGCTGGTGATCCACTGACAGATGGAGGTGGGCACAGAAAGCTGTGTCAGTTTGTCTGAGAGAAGGTCGGGCATGATGGTATTGAAGGCCGAACTGAAGTCCACAAATAGGATCCTTGAGTAATTCCCAGGTCTCTCGAGGTGTTGCAGGATGTAATGCAGTCCCATGTTGACTGCATCGTCCACAGACCTGTTTGCTCTGTAGGCAAACTGAAGAGGATCCAGCAAGGGTCCAGTGATGTCCTTCAGGTAGGCCAGGACCAGTCGCTCAAATTACTTCATGACCACAGACGTGAGAGCGACAGGTCCAAGTCGTTAAGTCCAGTGATTTTGGGCTTTTTGGTACACAGACCTTAAGCGCAGGTTGAATGGTGGGGGAGGGAGGGAGAGAGGTGGGTTGCAGGGGGTGTAGGTGAATGTGTGAAGTGCAGATCAGAGCGGATGGGGGGTGGTAGACTGGCCTTTTCAAATCAACAGTAAAACACATTCAGATCATCAGCCAGTTGTTCATTCTCCACAGACTGTGGGGGTGGTGTCTTGTACAAGGTGATGTTCTTGAGACCAGTCCATATTGACGCCGGATCGTTGGCTGAAAACTGTTTTCTCAGCTTTTTAGAGTAGTTTTTTAGCCACTCTGATCTCCTTTGTTAGTCTGCTCCTGGCCTGGTTATACAATAATTTATCTCCACTTCTGTAAGCATCCTCTTTGGCGTGACAAAGCTGTTTGAATTTCCCAGTAAACCACGGTTTATCATTATTAAATTATAAGAATGTCCTGGTGGGGATGCACATATCCTCATAGAAACCGATATATGAAGTTGCAGTCTCTGTGAGCTCATAAAGATCGGTGGCTGCAGATTCAAAAACACTCCAATCAGTGAGGTCGAAACAGGCTTATAAATCCCGCTGTGCTTCATTAGTCCATCTTTTAACAGTCTTTAAAACAGGTTTAGCTGATATCAGTTTCTGCCTGTAGGTCGGTATAAGATGAACCAAACGGTGATCAGAGAGCCCCAAAGCTGCCCGTGGGACAGAGTGATATGCATCTTTTATTGTGGTGTAACAGTGATCCAATATATTACTGTCTCTGGTGGGACATGTAATGTGCTGCTTGTATTTTGGCAGTTCACGGGAGAGATTTGATTTGTTAAAATCTCCAATAATGATTAAAAGAGAGTCTGGGTACCTTTGCTCCATTTCAGTTATTTGTTCGGCCAGCTGTTGCATCGCGGCGCTCATGCATGTGTCCGGAGGAACGTACACATTCACCAGAATGAAAGAGGAGAACTCCCGCGGCGAGTATAAAGGTTTACAGTTTATGAAGAGTGCCTCTAAGTTAGGATAGCATACCTTTTTCAGCGTTGTTACATCTGAACACCAACTTTCGTTGATGTAGAAACACAATCCACCACCTCTCGTTTTCCCTGTTAATTCTGCGATGCGATCCGCTTTGAACGGCTGGTAGCCCGGCAGATGAAGCGCATTATCCGGAATGGCTTCACTCAGCCAGGTTTCAGTGAAGCACAGTGCAGCAGAGTTAGAAAAGTATATAGCCCTATGTTATACAAACGTGACTTCTCGAAAAAAACTATGTTAGAAATCATGAATTAAGCTCATATTTCTTTTAAATATTTTGTGGTCAGCCATTTAGACGTAATAATCATAGACTGTATGGTAATAATAGATTAAATTTATTTATAGTAACTTATTTAGATTGAGTTCTGCTTAAGCTAATTAGCTTTTGAGTTCACATCACAAATATATATTGAGTTGAATTAACTTTTTAAACATCTTTGAGTTAAATGAAGTCATTTAATTTAGCGAATTTCACTGTTAGGTTTTACAGTGTATGTAAATAAGAAATAACGTGAATCTGTGCATTTTAATGTGTTTGAAAGACAAAAGCCTTCTGAAGACAAAGACTTGTGTGAATAATATATAATCATGTAATCAATAAAACAGTAACTGTAGTCTGATTATGAGTATTTTAAAATGTAATGTAACCTAATTAAAAGTGTTTAATTTTTGGAATCTGATTATGTAGCTAATTCAGATTACTTGTAATCCACTACCCAGCAATGCATACAACTATTTAAATATTTTCACAGCATAGCAAGACTCGATTACATCGTGGGAGTGGGTGTTTCCAGCAAGCTCTTTTGGATCAATTTGCTCACCACGACTCTCTGATTGGTAGAATCTTCTGCACAGCATCATGGGTAATGTAGTTTTTTCACTGCAAATTCAGCTGTTAATCACAGTTATTTTATAATAAATTGAAATGATGTGAACGGATGGCTTCAACGAAAGCATACACCATTAGTTAAAAATCTCAGGGCTTGAAGTAGATCTGTCTTTAACCCTCTGGTGTCTGAGGGTGTTTTAGGGCCCTGGAGAAGTTTTGACATGCCCTGACATTTGTGCTTTTTTTCAGTTGCTTATAAACACTGTCTCTGGTGGGACACGTAATGTGCTGCTTGTATTTTGGCAGTTCACGGGAGAGATTTGATTTGTTAAAATCTCCAAGAATGATTAAAATAGAGTCTGGGTACCTTTGCTCCATTTCAGTTATTTGTTCGGCCAGCTGTTGCATCGCGGCGCTCATGCATGTGTCCGGAGGAACGTACACATTCACCAGAATGAAAGAGGAGAACTCCCGCGGCGAGTATAAAGGTTTACAGTTTATGAAGAGTGCCTCTAAGTTAGGATAGCATACCTTTTTCAGCGTTGTTACATCTGAACACCAACTTTCGTTGATGTAGAAACACAATCCACCACCTCTCGTTTTCCCTGTTAATTCTGCGATGCGATCCGCTTTGAACGGCTGGTAGCCCGGCAGATGAAGCGCATTATCCGGAATGGCTTCACTCAGCCAGGTTTCAGTGAAGCACAGTGCAACAGAGTTTGAAAAGTCCTTGTTGGTGCAGGTAAGGAGAAGAAGTTCATCCGTTTTGTTAAGAAGGGAATGGACATTCGCGAGATGAATGCTTGGGAGCGCAGTTCGAAAGCCACGCGTGCGAAGATTTCCTCTTCTGCGTCTGTACGCACGTTTGAACAACACAGCTGTACCTACGACTAGAATGTCCAACAAAACGTCTGAATAATCAAAAACCGGAAAAATATTGTCTGGGATGTGTTGCTTAATGTTAAGGAGTTCGTCTCTGGTAAAACTTATAGAAGAAGAATGACAAAACACAGAACAAACAAACAAAAACATCAGAAGAATTTCGGAGCTCAGCGTTGTGGCTGCCATTTGCGGCGCCATCTTGTTCTTTAATAACTTTAATAACTATATTCTAATTATTCAGATTTATATTTGTTTCACTTATTTAAAATTCAAAAGATTTTAAAATTATTTTTTTTTTACTTTATATTTTTCACTTTATTTAATTTTCTGACATTGTTGTCGAGAGATTCTGTCTAAGGTTTAACATTAATCAGACTCTCTGTTCCCAAGGTTCCTCAGCTTATTACTAATTTTTTTTAAATAATAATATATATATTTTTTTCTGTCTTCTGGAATCGAGTGTAGTGAAAAGAGATGGCCACACCTCTGTTACAGACCTTGCATTTACTGAAGTCAATTTCACTCATTTTTAAATAATCAGGTCAGTTCAGATTAGTCTCACCTTAACCTTACACGCTTAATCTTTACTTTGCAGACCTCATTAATGACTATAAAAGTACTCATGGTGACGTTCCCTCAAGTTCTACGCAGTGGGGTCGTGCCAGACACGGCTCAAGGAGGGGCCAGGGCCAGAGTCGTGGTCATGCCTCATACTACACACAGTCATATTCATCACTGCCAGAACCTTATGTGCCTCATTCTTCTGGCAGCTGGAGGAAAACATACTCGCTTAACAACAAGAGCAACAGGACAGTTGGGTGCCATGTGTCTCATCCAGCTGTGGACCACCTGAACCAGCCTCACCATCACATCACTACATCTGGTGATGCTGCTACTGGGAATAGTGCTGGACCATTTGGAAACAACAGTGTTTTATTTAAAAAGTTGAAAGCTGAACAAACCACAGATAAATATACAACATCTTCACTTAATGTCCAAAGTGAGACTTCAAAGGAGAGGAAAAGTGAAGCAAGTGAAAAAAGGACTGTGCTTATACCTTCAACAGGAAAAAACGATCATGGCTGCTCATCTACCAGTATACTAACTGACTCTGCTTCAACATCTGACCCTGAAATGAAGATAAAACCCACTTTGAAATCATCCTCAGCTGTGAACAATCCCTCTATCCCTTCATCTGTCAAACCTTCAGATCCTGTTCAAGTCAAACCACACCTTTCCACTGCTGCCTTATCCAATAGGACTGTTGTAATGCCAACAGCCAATAGAGATTGTACTATGGCTTCTTCTGCCACCTCTAACCTTCAGTCTCAGGCTTCCTTAAGTCCCACAAAGCTTCAGCTTAAGCTAGATTCAACTCAGACATGTGTAGCCTCGCCATGTCATAAGAAATCTCGGTTTACTTGGGTGAAAAACCAAGAGATGGTAAACATAAAAAGCACACCTAAGCCAGTGACCTCTGGATCCTCTCCTGGGACAGCTACTCTGAAACGAGTCTCCAGCTCCAATAAGAAGGTGTCTCGCAAGCCTAATCTTTCCCTCGGAGCTCCTAAGACCTCAAAGTACACCTGGGTGTCTTCCTCTTGCTCCTTGTCAACAGCTGGGAAAGCAAACGCTTTAATGAAAACGCCACGCAAGCCCCTTTCACCCAAATCTCTTAAAGTCCCTGTAAGAACATCTCAAGGTGGACTGGAGGTACCAATGAAAGAAAAGAGATGTGCCACAACCTTAACAACTTTATCAAAAAAGTCTAAAGCTACAGGTGCCTCCACATCCCATGCTGACCATGCCAGCCGCTATCGCTGGAAAGCGGCTGGACAAAGCGCAACAGCAAATGCATCTAGCTCAATTTCTAGGAATACCCATAAGGGCACGGTCTATCACTGGACAGCTAACAAGAATGGTCAAAAGGGGGAAAAGGTATTTGCTCTGTCCTCAAACCCCACCTACATGAACCCTACTACCACCCCACTGTCAGCTGGTGCTTTCAAGCTCAGGAGTCGAACCAAGATCATCAGAAGATCTGCTAGCAGGTGAGAGTTCTGCTTTAAGATTGTGATGTATATACCATTATGCAAGGGGATGTGAGAAGTCAGAATTAATTTTAGGGATGCACCGGTATTAAAATGCTGGCCGACTCAATCATGCTATGGCCAAAATCTGATAAATTGATATGAAATTTTTATACTATTTTATATAAAATAGACAGATATATTTTTCCTCTTGCAGGAGTAGTTATCTGTCCTGTTAAAAAAGGACTGATAACGAATAACAGTACTTGCCTGACATGTTGAAATGCATGATGTTTTATTAGTGTAATTATTAAACACAAGTAAGTTTCAAAAATGTGTATTTGTGTCAAATATCAAATAATGTGATAAAGCTGACATAGACAATTCTAAAATTGACAAAACAAAAAAGCTAAAACATGGAAATTTCCTGGAACATGTTTCATCACAAACTGTAGAAACCCAGTGTATTATATGACCTTTTTAAAGTGTAGAATGATTGCTAGTTGCAAGTGTTCATATGTTGTGGCAATATTGTTCTTAAACTCTCCTTTAGATGGCAGCACAAATTTCCTTAAATGTCCTTTGCCCATCAATCAAACATTGATTGATGGGCAAACAAATTTTTACAGAAATTCTTACAGCATTTCGTGTATGTTTTATGTATGTCTATATACAGTCCCTCCTTAGAGAGAAGATACAGCCCCATTGTGCAGACTTTAAGGAGCCGGTATTCTTTGCGGAGACGGACACACGCTCCGGTGAAGAGTCCAACCAATACCAGGCGAGCACAGCCCAAAGTGCTGGTTTCATTTGGCAGACACAAGCTCCGCCGGTGATGGCCCGTATCCGCTGGGGATAGGAGGAGTTAATTAATTGCCCAATCGGGCCGTGATGGTGTACATGTGCCGATAGCGGGTAATTTGCAGCAGTGGCACGCCGAATACGGCTACACTATCAAACCCTGCCAGCGCTCTCGCTCAGTAGATAAAAAGGAGCTAATGCGTAATTATCCCTTTGCAAATTGGATTGTTTTAACGAACTGGAGAATATAAGCCCAACCTGATGGAAAGCAATCACTGTTTTTACAGCCAGCTCCACCCCCTCCGCCCCATCCACAATCTCACTGTAATCGCTTGTGCTCTGTTTCTGCGCACATTAGAGTAGCAGTATTACCATAAAACTTCGTTCCTTTTGCATACCTGTAAATTACCTGTGTCTCTTCCTTACCAAGGTCTTGTAATAGGAAGTTTTGTCTTGTTCCAGCCAGGTGATGCTTCTTTGGGTTGGATGTGAAGAGAGAGGGGGCGAGCGGGAAAGACAGGGCGGGTGATGGAGGGGTTAGCCAGAGGGACTCTGTGCAGCAGATAAGAGTGGCTAATAAAGAGCAAATTGAATTAGTAATGAGGAGAAAGAGGGCAGCCGCGTTAAAAACCGCCACTAACTGCCTCTCCTCACTGCCATGGCCACCGCCGCGTGACATCTCTTAATTCCTTCTCTGATGAGTGCCCACCACATGTCTCTCTCTCTCCCTCCCTCTCTATCTGTTTACCGAGGCTGGTTGGTTTTCTGTTGGGGGATTTAAAGGGGCATAAACCTAAGTGAGCAGTTAGGAGCGTAATGAATTGCGGGCAGGGGAGAAGCGCCTCGATAATCCCATAAAATAGATAAATGACAGAACACAATAGTGAGGAGATGAGAGGGAGAGAGAAAAGGAGAAGAGAGGAAATGAAGCAGCCTGAAGCGTCTCAATGGAATTTTGGCTTAGGATGCTTGAGGGTTCATAGACAAATGAAAGGCAACTTAGTGTAGACTGATTAGTCTTCACTCCCTACAGAACAGCTTCATATATTTGTGGATGCATTTAAATCCGTACGAGGTCTTCCCATGGGTTGCATTCCGTTTTTTTTTAGCTTTTCACAATCATGAACAGTAGTTGCACAATCTTCATTTTTTTACTTCTCTTGATATGAAAGAGAAAAAAAATTAGTAGGTCATCAGTAATATCAAGCAACATTCAGATTATATCAGTGGTCAACATATTTAAACAGTCCAAGCTTGACTGCAAGCTAACTAAAGATTTTGTGTATAGGTTGTGTAAATTATGCAGATTCACTGACAAATATGGGTTTTTAGTTTTATTTTTTTTTTTTGTAATACTATTCTATAACTTTAAACATGTTGACACGTACATGAAGCTTCTACTTTGTTTTAAGCAAGCCTTTATTTTTTGACTAGCCAGTTACTCATGTACACTACTGTTCAAAAGTTCAGGGGCTGTAAAATGATCATTCATTCATTCATTCATTCATTCATTCATTCATTCATTCTTATTAAGAAATGGATACTTTTATTCAGCAAGGGTGTGTTAAAATGATCAAAAGTGCACTTCTAATATAATGACTGCTAAAAATTTAGCATTGCCATCATAGAAGTAAATTACATTTTAAAATATATTAAAATTAAAAGACCATTTTTGATCAAAATCAAATTTGACCATTTTCTTTTTTTCTTTTTCAACTAGGTATGACAAATGGCAAGCATTGACAAGCATTTTGCCAACTGATTCAATTGTTATGGCTTTTTGCTGGGTTGCCTCACTTGAAATTTAATTGATACAAAATCCTGCTCCATATAACTATATCTCTGTTCTTATTGACTGTTATCGTCTTGTCACCCAACAGCTTTGCATTCAGTGTGGACAGACCAAAAAACTCCAGAATCTTACTTTAGGTGTTTGTTTATTTATTACTTATTTACTTTTACTTTTTTCGCAATTCAAAATTTGCTGAATTAAAAAAAAAAATGTAATGGTTCCTTTTCATTAGTATAGAGGAATAAGTAGAATCTTTATGTGGGTAATTTAACAGCCTGTGACTTCAGATCTCCCCCTCATGCATGTTTGTGTAGGCAGCCTCTCCCCCATGTGTTTAAGTGATTAACTTAAGGTAGAGCTGCTGTGCTGTGTCTTTATTTGGTATGATGTATGTACACCTCCACCCTACCCCCTCCCATTCCACACACACAAATGCACAGTGTTCAGGTCAACGTTTTAACATCTCCTCTGCAAACCATTGGTATTTTAATGTGTAAATCAAAGGGCAGCATGTATCTTTTTCAGCTCACGCGCATGCACATGCTGACCGGCAATGATATGGAAGGTTTACGATTAAGCTGGAGTCGGACACATCACTCTTCTCGTAAATGCATACTCGCATAGTCATGTTACCGCAATTCCACAAACACGCCCATATACACACCTTAGCCCTGACTACATCCATAGGGGTCCTATTACTGTACAATATTTGCACCTTTTTATTTGCCCATAAATCACTTGTCCGGTCTTTCACAGCTCTGATCTCGCTGTCATTTTCCACTCGATCTGATGGTGCCGTCCCTCACCAGCTCACGTAAAGTTTACACACATGCATACGGTGGCCACACACGCAAGTGTCAACAGCAGCTAAATATAGGCTTGCAACATTAAACTTTTAGGTTTTATTTTTTTGTATTTTTGTATGAAAGAGCTTTTATGATCTTTTATCATTTACATCTTTAACTCACAAAATATCTTTACAATTTGGAGGAAGTGTGCAGAGGTATTTTAATCTATTCATAGCTGCAGCCTAATTCACAGGATCCCTACATAGTGTTCATTGCTCTCTATACAACAAGCAAGTGATATCTATAGAAGTTCAGGTCATTTAACAAAATTTGTTCAGGGGTATCGGTTAAGTTTAGCATGTATTATGTTCGTGGTGAAGTGCAGTGTAAGGAAGGTAATGTTTTATGAAGGGTTTGTATATGTTCATCCTGTATCATCTATTTTTTCCCCCGATTTTTATCTTCATGCATTACATTCTGTCACTTTATATAGGTACAAAGTATCTTTTCCATAGATTAGCACAATGCCTCACCCCTCAGGGCATAACCACACACTCGGTCGACGTAAATAAACATACACATATCCTGGCAACCGGGAGTTAAATTGGGATTTTGTAATTGGGGGAACCCTAACATCTGGCAAGCTATGACATGAAACCACCCCATCCCCCACCCCCAAAATGTTAATAATTGAAACAAAATAAGAGGGATCATGAAAATTGCATGTTATTTTTTATTTAGTACTGTCCTGAATAAGCTATTTCAGATAACATATGTTTACATATACGCCACAAGACAAAATAATAACTGAATTTATAAAAATTACCCCATTCAAAAGTTTACATACCCTTGAATGTAAACAATATTATGTGTAATTTCCTGGATAATCCACAACTGTTTTTATATTTTGTGATAGTTGTTCATGAGTCCGTTGTTGGTCCTGAGCAGTTCAACTGCCTGCTGTTCTTCAGAAAAATCCTCCAGCTCCTGCACATTCTTTGGTTTTCCAGCATCTTCTGCATATTTGAACCCTTTCCAAAAGTGACTGTATGATTTTGAGATCCATATTTTCACACCGAGGACAACTGAGGGACTCATGCACAACTATTACAAAAGGTGAAAACATTTACTGATTCTACTATTTTCAATAAGTAGTATAAATAGCAGAAAATCCTGCTAACATTAGGTGTAAATAGAATCTATAGCTATTTGCACTGTGTAAACATGAATTTATATATATATATATATATATATATATATATATATATATATATACACACACACACACACACACACACACACAGACACACACACAACAAAAACAACTCATAAGTTTACATCCCCCTTGC